CTCATTATACCACAGTGACACTGAGGGTACACTATCTTTGACAAAACAATCACTTGTTCTCAACAGTTCCTATAAAATACTAATCTCCTTCCTTTCGTAGTTCAAATGACTGAATAAGTGGCATGTATTTAACTTGCTCCCTTGGCCTCACTACCCACACATTTTTCTATAATGTTCCTTCCCCCACTCATTTTACTAAAATTGCTCTAACATTAGTGATCTCTTTCTAGTCCCATGACTATGTTTTTTAGACTCTCATCATTAGCTCATTTGATTCTACTCTTCCGATCTTTGAAGCCATTTGACTCTACTGATCTCAGCCTTTGGCAAGGCCTCTGTCTCTCCTAACGTTATACTGCCACATTCTCTCCCTTCATGTCTGACCTCTATGATCTACATCTTTTTTTTTTTTAAAGATTTTTATTTATTTATTGAGAGAGAGAGAGAGAATGATAGAGAGCATGAGAGGGAGGAGGGTCAGAGGGAGAAGCAGACTCCCTGCTGAGCAGGGAGCCCGATGCGGGACTCCATGATCATGACCTGAGCTGAAGGCAGTCACTTAACCAACTGAGCCACCCAGGCACCCCTATGATCTACATCTTTAATGTCCTCTTTGCCACTTCCTATTACTTACACTATGTCAGGCCTGCAAGATTCAGTCTTTGCCTCTATCCCACATTCATCTGCCTCAGGGAGGACTCCCCTTTGTCCCCTGGTCTTTGACTGAGAGGTCCCACATTCGCCTATAACTCAATGCCACCGACCACTCAATAATGCGTGGACCCCCTCTGCCACAGCAGTATCCCTTTTTTTTTTTAAAGATTTTATTTATTTATTTGACAGAGAAAGACACAGCGAGAGAGGGAACACAAACCGGGTGTGGGAGAGGGAGAAGCAGACTCCCTGCCGAGCAGGGAGCCCGATGCGGGACTCGATCCAGGGACTCCAGGATCATGACCTGAGCCGAAGGCAGTCGCTTAACCAACTGGGCCACCCAGGCGCCCAGCAGTATCCCTTCTTACCTTTCTTATTTCAGACAACAGGGCAACACTCCTTCAGCCCTCCACCTCAAAAACTTCAGTCTTCCTTTAATCGCCCTAGGTCTCATGGAGCCACACCGATTTCTTCAAAAACACTTCCTAGATATATTCTTTTTTTGGCATTGCCATCATCACCTCACACATGGATTTCTGTAATATCTTCACAGGTCGTAGCTATTCGTGTTGTAGGTAGCAACCATGTTAATTTTCCAAAAATGCTTCTTTAATGACTTCTGCTGGAAGGCTTCCTTTTTGCCCAAATTCAAGTGGTCCAAAACCCTCAAAAGGCCACACCGTATCTATTACTTCCTGACTGAAATCCAAGGTAATCTTCCTCCTTCCACATCCTCTCCAGACCCATTACTGCCCCTACTTTTGCTCCTGTCTCTCTCCCAGACCTTCTGTTGCAACGAAGCCTTCAGTAATTTGATTCCTTTGTTAAAGCCAGTGGTATGTTGGGTCTTGGGAGGAGATCAGTGAGGAAAAGCCCTGATTTGTAGTGTTTTTCAATAACCCTCAGCGTGGCAGATTTTAAGCTACCAATGTAACGTAACTAATTGGGAAAAGATGTGCACAAAGCCAATAGGAACTGGCTCCATAGCACCACGGCAGCACTTAAAGTCTGTTCTGCAATCCAGAACTTAATATATACTGTCTTGCATAAGCTCTCCAGATGTATTATATAGGTATATTCGTTCACTGCAACAAACTCCAGCCCTAGGGAAAGTGGGAGTCCACACACTTCAGAGCTTTCATCCTGTACAGGGCACACAGTGTGTGCTCAATAAAGACCTGCTGACAAGCCCTGGAGGGAGTGATAAGCAAAGCCAAGGAGCAGGAAAAATGGGCATGTACTCATTTAGGGTTGGTTAGCAAAAACAAACAGAAATGACAATGAAGGAGCAGAACGTAGGGGAAAGAAAATCAGAATGGGAGCCAGGAGATATTGGTTATGTCCCAGCTTTGTACGTAGGACTCTTCTGAGGTCAAGTCAATTCCCCTCTGAGGCCTTAAGTTTCCTCATCTATAAAATTAGGGGGCTAGACTACATGACTTCTACCTTATCTCTTGATTCTAATGCTGTGGAATGTCAGTTAAACTGACAAGGATGCTGTCCATGGTCCACTGTATTGGTATAATATAATAATAAAATCATTTTAAAATCTGTTGGTAAGTCAGCAAAGTTTAGGACAACAAAATTTTTCTGAAGGTGTGAAGAAACATTCTTGTAAAGCCATTCTATTCTTTTGACTTAATTACTCTGTAGAAAGTAATAACTGTTCCTGCTCGTGCTCACTCTCTCTCTCATAAATAAAATCTTTTTTAAGGTTTTTATTTTTTTGACAGAGAGTTAGAGAGCACAAGTAGGCAGAGCAGCAGGCAGAGGGAGAGGGAGAAGCAGGCTCTCTGCTGAGCAGGGAGCCCGATGCAGGGCTCCATCCCAGGACCCTGGGATCATGACCTGAGCTGAAGGCAGACGCTCAACTGACTGAGCCACCCAGATGCCCCATAAATAAAATCTTTAAAAAAATAATAATTATTCCAAAGGATATCTACTGCCTCTCTGTGAGCTGGACACTGATAAGTGCTAAGGATTTAGTAAAAATTCAGTCTTTACCCTCATGGAACTCACAGGAGTATGGGTCAGTAGCCATTTAGTTCCAAATCACTCTATCAGTGCCTTTTAACTTAAGGAGCACAGATTGCTCTAAGGAATGGATGCAAGCTATAGATCCTCTCTTCCCAAAACATAAAAATATGAATATAATTTCAGAGGTTCACAGGACCACTCATCTGTGGAGGGGTCCAAGAACCACAAGTTAACAACTTTGACCTATATCTCTAGCTACATCTGCAAAATGATAAATTTAAAACCTACATTCTGTTTGCTAAGAAAGTACAGCAAAGATTTCCAACAGAAATAATTCAAAAAAGGTCCATCGTTTAAAGGATTAAGCTTTGGCTATTTGAAATTTCACTCACCTAGAGTATCTTATTCCAAATAATATTCTGGATAAATGAAGCATGCCTAGATTAGGTTTCTATTTGAGCTGCGATTCCTTTGGTTAAGGTTGCCTGATAAATCAGTCTTCTTACTTGAAAATCCATTTGCACATAAATATGTGCTTCCATTTCACAAGTATATCTGCATTTCATGACTCTTCCATTTCACATCAAACTCAATTAACCATGACAAACACAGTACACACATATACTGAATAAGCATCTTGAATGAAACAAAGGGCACAAGTTCCTGAACTAGCAGGCACTCACTCATTTCCTGGCTCTAACATTTTATGGCTAAATGATCTTAAACAAGTCATTTAACCATCTGACCTATGTTTATTCACTTGTACATTGGAGAATGGATGATAAGACTTACCTAGGAAGGGTACTATAAGAAATCAATCAAGTAAAATAACATATGTCAAAGTATTAAGCTTTAAAATAGACACAAGTGGGTGAAAGGGCAAATTGCTTACAGTTGCTCACAAAACATCAAACATTCAAAGAAGGTCTTTGGAAAGAGTTCATCATGTAACATTCTTAGTGGATCTATCTGGAATAAAATAAATTGTTCTTAAAATGCTCAAGGAATTTTGTTTTGATTGAGTGGTCAATAGTGAGGTTCTTAAATATCAAAAGTCTGCAAAGAGGCTTTGGAATCTTTATAATGCATAAATATGTTTTCAAGGCAGGAAGATAAACTACTTAAAACCCTAGGGTCTTAGTTCCTATGTAGTCAAAGTCCCTTTCAGTCCGTCTATTTTAGCTTTTTCCAGAGCAATGATTCTTTCACTTACCTTGTAACAGCTAACAGGTCAAAAGGATGTACACAAAAGACTTTAGGTAAATTAGTCCAACAAAGCTGAACAAATCAATGAAATCAATCTTTTTTAGTGGAGGGAATGTTTATTTTAAAGGAAGTATATAATATTCTTCTGTTTGAGACATGTTTTCCAGTCCATTCTCCATTGGAACACAAAATAAGAATATAAAAGATAACTTTTTCTTACATTACTTCATTTACATTTGCAATGCACATTTACATTATTTCAACAGGCAAGTTTGGGGCGATTCTTCCTTTAAAATTTGAAATAAACAACTCTTTAATAATTTGCTACCAAGGAATAAAAGATCAGTCATTACACCTTATCAAAGCTCATAAAGGTGATCAAAAGTGATTTGCCCTGGTGACTAGAAAAAAGCCAAGCGGCAAACATTTTGATTTCTCAGCCCCTACTAAGCTCTGTTGGTTCCCCAAGAAGACGAAGACAAATGAAGTTTTGACTCCAAATACCCATTACACAAATGTCTACTAGAAAAATAAACTGCAGATTCTACGTAACACTTTCCTCCAAAAAATTCAAAGCACTTAACCGTAGAATTGTTTAAAAGAAATGTATCCCCCATTTTAGGAAAACAATTACTATTATTCTGTAAGCCCTTAAATCCCTTTCCTAATCAGACACTAAGTGGGTAGGAAACCCTAGACTAAAGGTTTTCTCTGAGAGCCGGGATAAACTCTTGAGATGGTGGGGGGCCGGGGAGACTCAAGACTCAAGGAGAGCTACGGACCGGAGAGGTTAGGGTGAAAAGCTGAATCAATCAGACAACGGGGAAGTTCTAGGGATGGCAGGTGCATTAAGAACTGAATTCAGAGGCCACTGGGGGTGGGGGTGGGTTGATAAGGATCGGGGAGCAAGGGCTCGTTAAGTTGGTGGGAGCTGGGTGGATGGAGGCCCAGGCGCGATGGTCACTCTGGGCCAACCCCCACCACCTGCTTAGCAGTTGCTCGCTCAGCCTTTGCTCTTTCCCATTATCGGGGTATGACTACGAGCCACTTAAGAGTGCGCGATGAAACCGAGCAACTACCAGATTTGGGGAAGCTGCAGGATTCCTCAATCTCCAGCAGCCAAGCTGGCTTCCCAACCTCCCCGACCCCGGCCCGCGTCTCACCCGCCGCCTGGCGCAGGCCGCGCAGGCTCCCCATGGCTGCCCACTCCGCAGACCCGACAGCGCCTCCCGGGCGGTGACAGCGCGGGAGCACTCAATGTTACCAAACGCCCGCGATAGGAAAGAGGCGGACGGCGCAGGCAGGCAGGACTAGGGCTACTTGAGGGCGGACCGAGCGGGTCGTGCGTGTTGCGCGGGGCGTGTGGGCGGGGCCTGCATGACGCGCGGAGCGTGTGGGACGTGCGTGACGTGCAGACTGTACGGGCGGTGAGCCCGGTTCAGCCCCGCACAATGCCTGGACGCGTCTTTAACAATGTGTTTGTGGGAGCTGGGTGTCACGGGCCTTTGCAGTCATTCCCTGCGCCTAAGAAAGTACCCTTTAAAATAGAAATGTGCTCCCTGTAGGACTTTTGTGAACTGTAGAACCCGAAATCACACTGCCTAGATAAACCAGTATTTCAGTACTGTTTTTCCAGCATTTCCAATGAATATATATATATATATCCCTCTACCAAAAACACACAACTGGGCTCCTAGTAACTGATCGACCCCACGTCTTACTGCCTTTGAGAGTATTTCTCAGCCTACCTGAGAAATTCACACCTATGCTTCCTATTTCTTTGATTTGCCTATTTTTATAAAACCAAACATTTTATTTCCACACCTGAACACCTTATTCAACCCTTACCCACACTGTCAGTAGTCTTCTTTTAAAAACGTTTCTTAGTAGTCCCAAATTCTTAACGAACAAAGGCCCCTCTGCTCAAGGGACGGGAGGTAAATAATGAAGTGGGAGGGTTAAGAAAAACCTCACTTGTACTCTAGATTTCCTACTCGAACGACAGGGTTGCTGCGACCAACAAACCGTCTCCCTTTGTGTAAAAGGAAAACAGAAAATGAGATTGGAGTAAAACGATCCCTTCAAATTCTAATATTCTCCGATCATCTAGGCCGGCCGTTCCAGGAAGCCGTGTTAAAGCGGTAGAAGCGAAAGGAAGGATAGCAGGTTTACAGGTTTGGGTGTATTTGAGGACCAGGGAAAAGACAAACCTTAGTTTAGTTTAGGTTCCTAGCTGATTGCCTTCGGAATAAATTTTGTTAGGCGGCGACGCGGACACCTTTGCTCCGTGGTGATTGGCTCGCGGCTGGGGCCTCGCGTTTGTCCAATATGGCGGCGCCCAGTGGCGGTGTGAACTGTGAGGAGTTCGCCGAGTTCCAGGTGATGGGGTTTTCCTCATGTGGCAGGAGCGTCCCTCCTTTTGTCCCCGTACCGTGTTCCCTGCTGTGGCCTGGGAGGGAGTGCGGACCAGTTGTGGAAGAAGCGGGCAGTTCAGGGCTCCTTTTTCCAGCCATTGGAGGTCATGGGGGCGCGGGCTTGGCCGTAGAGAGCGAGGCAGCTCCGTGGGGATCATGGTTTTCTCTGCGGTGCCCAGACCTTGAGTAACCGCCCGGGGAAACTCCGGGTGGTTCCGAGGTGGTAAAACCGAGCTTGGGCCGGATGGTAGGGATTGTAACAACCTTTTAAGCCACCCCCTGAACGCAATTCTTAGCTTCTGCGGTCCCCCTCCTACTTTAAGTTGAGCATTCGTAGGAGAGAGGAAAGTGAAGGAGAACTTATTTGCTTGATAAAACAAAACAATACAAAACTTAGTAAAAGTTTTACTATTTTGGTGGGGCAGAACGTTTGGAGCCTTGGAGGGGCGATTGATTTTAGTACCTGCTGTGGTGCTTCTGCCTACCTAACAATTAGAGGAAATGCAACATTTAAGAAAAAGGCCGTATCTTTTATATATTCAAATTCTAGAGGTCTAGGGCTAATACCAAGCTATAAATTAAAGAACAGGGGTCTGGATTCTAACTAAGTTGCTATGAGAGTTATCTGTTCCAATGTAGGCATAAACGTGCTGTCCAAAGACTTGAATTTAAAAAATCATGACCTTATAAATGTATGTTTAATCAAAGATAATGAAAAATAATTTCAAGTATCACTGACCTATCTGTAGGAAGTTTTGTGCTATGAGCCATTTTGTAGGGAGTGGTATTCTTGAAGGTAACCTCAACAGACTGAATTATTTGACAAATATTTGGCCAGAGAAATTTATGTGGGGTCTTTCCACCATTACTTGTACCCTCTTCACCCTTCAGCTGCTCCTCAGATGAGATCAGCACAACAGCAGCCGACTTCAAATGTGATCAAAGTGCCTGACAAATACAGATACTTTTAGAAGTCTTAAATAAGATGGAAAAAGACCATTAGAAAATAAAGTATGCAGAATATTTAAGTTAACAGGCCCGTTTATGGCCTTGGTCTTTCACATTAGTACTATGACTTGAGTTAATGAGCTCAGATAACTGAGCAGTGATAGCTTTAAGGTTTATTAGAATGAGCCCTGGTTAGGGAGTTAGATGATCTGGGTTCTAATACTACTTCTGCCTTTAACAGCTTTGGAAACTTGAGCTAATTGCTTAACACTTAGGAATAAACTTTTGAATCTGTAAAATAAGATTATGTTAGGTAACATTTAAAACTGCTTCCATCTCTATAATTATTTGAATCTCTAAAACTGAATTTTAAGATTTTATTTATTTGAGAGAGAGAGATTGTGCGCAAGTCGGGGGAGAAGCGGAGGGAGAGGGACAAACAGATTATGCGCTGAGCACGAGCTTTGGCCAGTGGGGGAGCTTGATCCCCCTACCCTGAGATCATGATCTGAGCCAAAATCAGGAGTCGGACACTTAACCAACTGAGCCATCCAGGCGCCCCTCTCAAACTAAATTTCAAAGGATCTCTGTTAAAATACCCAACAGTGCTTAAAAAACACTCGTATTTTTCTTTTGGAAGTCACATAAGATGTAAGGGGGGCAAAAGCTAAACCCTCTTTGCAGAACCATTCCATTCACAGAAAAATGTAAATAAAAAGATCATAAAATGAGTTTCATTAGTGAAATGGGGAAAGTTTTTAGATAGTTTTCCTAGGGCTTTTCCAAGTGTGTGGTTTATAATGGAGAATACCTTGGGTTAAAAGTCAGATTTGGTTTTCCACAGCTGCCTTGACATATCATTTAACCCCATTCTAAATTATAAGAACATTTGCTCCAACTATATCAGTCACATATGAACATAAGTGAAGGAGCTGTAAAACGTAAAAATTTAGTATAACATTTAGGTTTAGATGAATTGGGTAAAATTATAAGCTGTGGTTAACTGACATACTCACAGATTATCAATTAAAGTTAATATTTTTTAAAGCTATGAAACCATTACATTTTGTATGTAAGTACCCTAAATGTGAAAAGCAGTGCTCTGAATACTGTGGAAGAGAAACACGAAATCATGTACTTTTATTATAAAGATTTAGGTACTTTAGAATTTTATTGTGAAAATGTTCAAACACTATAGAAAAGTCGAAAGAATCTTACAATGAACACTTACGTATATCTAGATTCTGTAATCAGTGATTTGCTGTATTTACTGTATCACATATCCATCTCAATATAGTCATCAATTCACCTTTTTTTTTTAAGATTTTATTTATTTATTTGAAAGAGAGAGAACCCATGAGCAGGGGGTAGGAGAAGAGGGAAAAGCAGACTCCCCACTGAGCAGGGAGCCCGATGGGGGACTTAGTCCCAGGCCCCTGGGATCATGACCTGAGCCATAGGCAGAGGCTTAGCTGACTGAGCCACTGAGGCGCCCCTGCCTTTTTATCTTATTTATTTTATTTTATTATTATTTTTAAAGATTTTATTCATGAGAGACAGATAAAGGCAGAGGGAGAAGCAGGCTCCCCATGGAGCAGGGCGCCTGATGCGGGACTAGATCCTAGGACCCTAGGATCACAACCCAAGCCCAAGGCAGACGCTTAACCAACTGAGCCACCATGGGCCGCCCCCCTTTTTATTTTTTTGATGCATTTCAAAATAGGTTGCAAATCCATATTCACTCCTGAACATGTCACTATTCATATCATTAACTATAATTGAATATTTGTTCACTTTCATTCTGTAAAATTTGTATGCGGTGAAATGCACTAATCTTAAGCATACCATTCTTTTGACATTTACCTATACCTGCAGTACAAACCTCTACCAACATAGAGAATAATACTGCCACCTCCAAAAGTTTCTCATGCCCCTTCCCAGTCAGTGCCTGCCCATATATCCTTCCTCCTCCCCTCTTACAACTACTGTCCTGATTTTTTTCCAAGTAGGTGCATGTTTTAAAGCTTAAGAATTTTGAAAGTATTTTAAGTTTTTGCAATTCTTATTTTTCCATTGTAAAAGTTGGACTTAACACTCCTGGAAAATATACTGTTTCTAAAATGAAATAAAATCCAGAAAAGAATGTTTAAAATAGAGTGTCTAGGATTCCATTTGAACAACTCATTTAGCAAGAATTTATTGGATATTGTATTAGTCTGCTAGGGCTGCCATAACAAATTCCACAGAGTGGGTGGTTTAAACAACAAATTCATTTTTTCACAGTTCCAGAGGCTCAAAGTACAAGAGCAAAGTCCAGTCAGAGTTGGTTTCTGGTTCACCATCTCTTTCTGGCTTGCATGTTGCAGCCTCATTCCTGTGTTCTCATATGGTCTCTTTGTGCCCAGGGTGTGGGAGAGAGATGTCTGGTGTCTCTTCCTCTTATGAGGACACCAGTTCTGTAGGATTAGGGCTCCAACCTTATGACCTCATTTAACCTTAATTACCTCCCTATAGGCTCTATCTCCAAATACAGTCCTGTTGGGGGTTAGGGCTTCAGTATATGAATTTGCTGTTGGGGGGACACAGTTCAGTTCATAACAGATACTTGTTAGGTACCAGGCACTTGGGGAAACTTAGTGGACAGAATATAAAATAAGGAACGTAATGCAGGCAAGGATACAAAACATGTAGAAGATATTGAGAATATGAATAAAATGCTATAACAGGTGAGAGAGAAATAAATCAAGAGGTGGTAATTAAGTTGGGCTTTAGGTGGGCAGGACCAGGGGAATTCTAGGTAGAAGGAACAGTATGTAGGCAGAACATTTTATGTATTTGGGGGAAAGAGCCAATCAGTATTGCTGGGATTCGGGATTTGCACAGGGACAAATTGGGATTACACAAAAGATTGGAACCAGATTATGAAAGGCCTTGAATGCCAAGTGAGATTAGGGAGTCATTTCTGTCAGGAACATTCATCAGTACTGCCACAGTCTTTGTTCATCCCCTATGAACGTGTTTGCAATTAGCTTCACAATATCCCTCCTTATCTTCAGTCACTGCTTCCTCCAATATATCCCCCTTCAATTTAATCTCTATAATACTATGGCTTCATATTGTTATCTTCTGAATTTTAGAATCTGAACCATGCATCTAATTTGAGGCTTCTGTGACTAGGTCTAAACTACTTAACATGTCATACAAGACCTTTTAAAACCCAGTTCCAAAGTCTTCTCCTTAGTTATATCTCTTACTCTCCCTTACTCATGTTTCCCTCTCCTCAACCACTGCCACCTCCAACACGCATTTGAACTCTTCTGTCCAGCCACGTAGGCTTACTTTTCCCTGAACACATCAAGCTCTTTATCATTTATGTGTTGTTTTTTTTCCACTGTTGCCACCCTGAATTCCCTTCTTCCTGACCCTATCTCCGACCCATTTCATGTATCACTTGAACAAAATCAACTAAGTGTTCTTCCCAGAAAGTGTAAGTCTTGGTATTTCTGTTGGGAATATTTATTTGTTTATACACAACTGATTATGGTAATTAGGTACAGATGAAATAGACTGTTTTCTAGCATCAGTCATGGTTCCTTTTGCAACATGTCCAGCTGCAATCTGAGCCTGGGGGTGCTAGGTGTCAGAAGACTCTGGCAATTGCAGGCAAGTCTCTATTTCTGGTGTGGGGGGAGCACAGTGTGAGCATTGCTATAAAAAGTCGGTTTGAGGAACAAGGTCTGTTTGAAAAGAGCACCATGTGAATGGAATCTACTTCTGGGTACCTTTAGGCAAAGGGTGAGGAGGGAAAAGTTTAATAAATCCCAGATCATTCTTTGAAGTACATTTTTATTTTGCTGTTATGTGATAGACCTTTTACCGCTCCCCGTATACCCTAGAAGCTGCCCAAAATAGTAAAAGGAATTTACCTGAGGATTAACCTTAGGGGTAGAGTGTAGTTATAGGGGCAATAGAAAGTTTTCTCTACCCCTCCCTACTAAATATGGGCACTCCTTCAAT